AGTGCAGGTCCAAGTGGACCAGCCACATGCCCTCAGGACCAGGCCCAAGTGGTAGATGCTGAAGGATGTCTACAACCACAAAAGAATATACACTGGGGACAGGGACAGCTCAGTGGATAAAGCATTTGCTGCAGAAGTACGAGTCTTAGAGTTTCGATCCCTGAGCCCACCACAGAAACACTGGGCAGATATGGCGGACATCTGGAATCCCAGCATGTGAGAGGCAGAGATAGGGCCCCTGGGGCAAGCTGACTAGCTAGACTAGCTGGAAGTAGCAATTCATATATGATATATTGTGTTATATATATATATATAATATATAATTATACACATATTTATTATAAATTAGAGTGAGCTAGACGACACAGGGCCTATGTACACACGCACACATGTGAAGGTGTGTGCACTCCCACACACACATTTGCCTCCACACATGCAAATGTACACATACACCACACATACACAGGAGAAATAAAGAGAGAAGTCCAACACAAAAGGTTCTCTCAACGTTTGAGGGATCAGCTAAATTAATATCACACAATCTGCCATGGTTTCAAGGAAGAAGGGCACCAGGGCCATCACTCATGCTCTGGGGAAGGCTTAGGTGGGCACAAAAACAGGTCTGTGAAGAGGATCGTCTGCTCCTGTGGTGCAGAAATTCCATCACTGCTCGATCACAGCCTGTGGAGAGCTCCCACAGTGGCTCCCGAGCTTGTGAGAATGCTTCAAGCCACATGTGGGATGAGACATACCCATAATTCCAGCACTTAGGGAGCTGAGGCAAGAGAATGGGAAGTCAAGGCTAGCCTGGGCTACAAAAGGAGACTGACTCTCTCTCAAAAGCAAAACAAAACAACAAACAAACAAAAAACCTCAACCAAACAAAAACAATGATTTTTTGTTGTTGTTGTTTTGTTTTGTTTAAAATAGGGTTTCTTTTTGTAGCCCTGGCTGTCCTGGAACTCGCTCTGTAGACCAAGCTGGCCTCAAACTCAGAGATCCACCTGCCTCTGCCTCTTGAGTGCTTGGATTAAAAGTGTGTGCCACCACCTCCCAGTAACAATGATTTTTTTTAATGCTTTAAAATTTATTTATTTAGGGTGGTGGCAGCGGCGGTGGCATATGCCTTTAATCCCAGCACTTGGGAGGCATAGCCAGGCGGATCTCTGTGAGTTCGAGGCCAGCATGGTCTACAGAGCGAGATCCAGGACAGGCACCAAAATGACACAGAGAAACCCTGTCTCGAAAAACAAAAACAAAAGAAGAAAAATTTATTTATTTATTGCTGGGAGTGGTGGTGCACGCCATTGATCCCAGCATTCGGGGGGGCAGAGGCAGTTGGATCTCTGTGAGTTCAAGGCCAGCCTAGTCTATAGAGCAAGTTCTAGGACAGCCAAGGCTACACAGAGAAACTCTGTCTCAAAAATCCAAGAAAAAAACAACAACCCCGATGTATTTATTTAGTATGTGTATATAAGTATATGCACGCCATGGCACACATGCAAGCCAGAGGACAACTTGAAGGAGCTGGTAATCGTCTTTACCATGTGGATTCTGGGGATCCAACTCTGGTCATTAGATTGGGCAGCAAGTGCTTTTACCTGCTGAGTCATCTTTCTGGCTTCCGATTTCATTTCCCCCCTCTTCAATGTGTATGTTTATGTGCTTGAGTGGACATATGTGTACCCCGTGCATGTAGGAGGCCACAGAAGCCAGAAGAAAGTATTGGGTCCCCTGGAACTGGAGTTACAGATGGTTATTAGCTGCCATGTGGGTGCTGGGAACTGAACCTGGTCCTCTGCAAGAGCAGTAAGAACTCTGAACTGCCGAGTCAACTCTCTAGCCGTCCATCTCACTTTTTAACTTTAAGGATCTCCTATGGTTTGGGTTCATCCCCCAAAGCTCAAGTGCTGGAATCTCAATCACCAAAGTCACGGGCTGCTGGCACTTTGGGAGGCAGTTAGGGTCAGAAGAGGTTAGCTGTAAGTGGGGCACTCGATACTAGGGCATTAGCGGCTTTACAAAGGGGAAAGACACAAGCTAGCAAGCTGTTCTGTCTCCCACGTGGCTCTACAGGATGACACAGCACCAGGCCCTCATCAGAGGATGACATAGCTTTCTGTCGACACCTTCTAAAACGTTTGAAATTAACCCTGTTTCCTGCAAACTACCACATATCAGGCACTCTGAGCAGCAATGCAAAATGGATCAAAACTTGCTGTGAATGGCAACTGTAAAGGCAGGATTTGAAGCACACCCTGCACCTGTAGGCCAGGACAGGGTGCTTCAGGTTGCTCAGGATTCTGTCAGGGTGGGTAGGTCTGGGGGAGCCACAAGACATAATGTTGGCTCCTCCACTTCAGAAAGAAAAGCTGAAATCGTGAGAGGAAAGAAGATATGGAAACCACTGAGAGGCCATGACCTCCTACTAGGGGTTGCCTAAAAGGCCCAAGATGACCATGCCCTTTTCTGATGACATGGTCCAGGCATGTAGATGTGCACACAGTTTGTCCTGCATTAGCAAGAGTGAAGCCCTGTTATAGCCTTTATTTGGAGGCTGAGTGTGCTTTAAAGAGTTGCATATGAATGCCAACTTGACAAGAGGTAGACCTCTAGAGTTCACGTGTCAACTCTGTCAGATTTAACATTGTTCTGATGTTTCTATGAGTGTGTATAGGGATGAGGCTAACCATTAAATCTGACTTTGAATATGGCCCTTCTTAATGGGTGGGTCTCATCTAGTCAATCAAAGCAATGAAAAGACCGAAGACCATCCTTGGGTGGATGTGGGCTTTGTGCTTGACTTGACACCTACCTTGACGACTTTGACTTCCTAGCCTCCATACTCCTGTGGGTCAATTCCTTTCACTATATACATCCTGTTGGGTCTTTAGAGCACCCTGACTTACACAGGACCCTCTTGGGGAGCTACATACTTTGGAGTTCCACAGTTGTGGCAGTGGATACCTCAAGTAAATCAGGGGAGCCCCAGGGTGCAGATCATGCCTGTGTCACTGCTGGGAGAATAATGACCAGGAGAATGAGAAGGAGTTACAGCAAAAGTCAGTTATCCTTCATGTAAAAAATAAATACTTCAAATACTTTTACCGCACTTTAAATTAAAAAAAAAATTTTTTTTATGTGGGTGTGTGTTTTGCTTGAATATATATGCATGTTTGATGCCCATGGAGGCCAGAAAAGGGAGTTACAACGTTTGTGATCCAACATGAGGGTGCTGGGAATTGAACTGAGTCCTTTGTAAGGGCAGTAAGTGCCCTTAACTGCTGAGCCATCTAAACCCTGGTATACTTTAAGAAAGGCAATGGGACAATTCTTGTGCTGTGGTGATTTGGATAAGAATGGCCCCTATAGGCTCATATATTTGAATGCTTAGTCATCAGGGAGTGGTACTATCTGAAAGGATTCAGAGGTGTGGTCTTGATGGAATAGGTGTGGCCTTATGGAGGAAGTGTGTCACTGGGGGTGGACTTCGGGGTTTCAAAGCCCAAGCCAGTCCCAGTGTCTCTTCCTGCTGCCAATGGATCCAGATGTAGAACTCTCTGCTACTTCTCCAGCACCATGCCTGCCTGTGCATTGCCACGCTTCCCCCTCATGGTGACAACAGACTAAACCTCTGAACTGTAAGCCGGCCCCAATTAAATGATTTTTTGTTTTGTTTTGTTTTTATGAGTTGTTGTGGTCTGGTGTCTCTTTGCAGCAACAGAACCCTGACCAAGAACATGTGCCGTGCCCTCATCCATGCAAACTAAGACTGGTGCAGCCTCTAGCCTTTCCAGCCTGGTGCCAGTCAGGCCTCAACTTCCTTCAGCGAGCTACTTTTTCAGTTTTTGAAACCTGCAGAGAGCACAGACTTCGTGAGACTCTTTGCCTGGGCTCCACCATGCTCACCCCCTTCTTGATTGTTACCTTTGTCACAATCAGTGAAGCAAAAAGGATGCTTTGTACAGCAAAGTCCACACTATTCAGATTTCCTTAATTTCTCCAATTGTCCTCTTCCCTCTCAGAACCCCATCTAGGATTCTCACACAGTATATATGGTCCCCCATCTCCCTGGGGCTGTTTTTCAGAGTTCTTTGCTCTTAATAGCCTTGCTGGTGTTGAGGATTCTGGCCAGGGACCTATGGAGCATTCTCCAGTGGTTAACTACCTATGGTTTCTCGGGGGTGGACAGGGTTATGATACCTTTGGCTTCTAAATCAACTGAGCCTTTCTAGAAATCCGAGTTCCCACGAGGACTGTAGCTGCTAAAACCCAAACTTTCAAACTGTACAGATTTACTAAAAGGTTCCCTAAGAGCAATGTGGCCCGGGACAAAGCCACACAGAGTCCCCTATGGTTTTCTAGGCCTGTGGGCTGGGACCCTGGAGACCTTGGGGGAATCCAGCGGCTTCTGCCACATGCAAGCCAGTTTCACTTTCAGAATTTGGTTTTTCCTGGAAAATGAAAGCTCTACTCCTGACCTAAGTGATGGTCACCAACATGCACACAGAAGGATAAGAGTGAGTCAAGCTTGCTGAAGAGGAAGGGATGCTAGGTACCTACCTTCTGGGGAAGGGAAACATCTGTGGAAATTGGACCCTAGGGTAAGCTCAGGCTGTAAGGAAGGGCTGGAGGAAGGGGACAGAGCCTGCTGGGGCTGTGTGATGCTCCCTGCACAGTGTAGGAGCTGTCTGTGGTGGTCTGGCACCTCTGTCAGGGACACCTGACTTCTGCAGGTGTCAAAGCCGAGCTTTGGCTTGGTAAGAAGCCCACACTCTGGGTGAGGTTGCCACTGGGGACTCAACTGCCACCTCCCTGGGTGCTGGCACACAGTGAACAGCAAGTCCTGGAGAGCGTGTGGGCTGCCTGACAACCTCGGGGAGCTCTCTGCTTGTCTTTGAAATTCTATAATTAGGCTGGTCACAGGAATCTTAACAAGCTCTGTTTCCATGGTAATCTAGCATCTTGAGCACTGACAAGGTGAAAAAAGAAACCCACTTTTTAAAAAGCTGAACTCCGATCAACTGACTGTGGACAAACCCGCCTCTTCCAGGCTTGGAGATGACAGGTGGGCTGAACTGCGGCAGCAGATCAGAGCAAAGCTGGAGGGTTCCTTGCTTGTGGGATGTGGAATGTGCAGTGTAATGAGCACAGGTCACCGCAGTACCAAAGGTCGACCCTGTGTTGCCAGGGAGAGATCCTGGTGCCTTTGGTGGCATCCCTAGGCCAGTGGTCAGCAAAGATAAGAAGCCAGCTAGAATCCTGAGGACCAAAGAGGGTCCACAGAGCTTGAGAACAGATGTCGTCATGGAGGGCAGGGGTGGAACAGACACTGCTGCCTCTAGCTCAGGGTCACAGTGATTTTGCCGGGATTCTGTTTGTCTTTCTCTATCGTACACATATGCAAATCAACTCATCCTAGGACCTCAGATGCCCAGCTAAAGAACGGTTGTGCCGTGGGAAAGAGGCGATGAAGGAGCCACACAGGCTGTTTCATTAAGACTGCAGGTATCCGGGCCTACAGCACTTCAGGATCTGGTGCTCCCAGAAGGCTATGAGAACAAGGATCTTCATTCCTTCCACACTGCCAGGTGGGCACCATCCCAGAAGCTGGGGGTAGCAGCAGTGATGGGTGGAATGGTCTTTCAAAGGTGGGAAAGCTGGGTGGGCAGCACATCTGAGTGTGCATTCGTCTCCTCCCGCTAGGGACTTTCCCATCCCAGGCTTTCCACTCAAACTTCCTGTTTCTAACCACTGATCTATTTCCTAGCAGAAAATATGACTTATACATGCCATGCTTTGAAAGGTAAATGAAGAATAACATTGAAATCACAAAAACAGGCCAGGATAGAGGCATGGGAACTGCTGCCGTGGGAAGTTATGGTTGCGTGGGAGATGGGCCTGTTTGTGAACAGCAGGCACTAACATGGCTCCCACGCAGGCTTTCCACCCTTTCAGCTACTCCATCGTTCTGTGTCTAGGGTGTGTCCCTCTGCAACCACAATACACCCGGAGGATGTAGAAAAACGTGGAGCAAACAAACAGCCAAACAGCTGACCCACACAGGGGGCTGCCCTAGCCCCTCCTCTATACGGAGCCGGTGCATCAGTGATGGGTGAAAAGCTGCTGCCCAGCAAAAGATGGGGACAGACACACATGAACACGGGATCTCGGTGGGAAGGACGGCAAGAGACAGGAAGTCTCCCCAGCGAGATGCACGAGCCTCAGTGGAGACTCGCCCAGGCCACACACACTGGAAAGGGACCCAGATGGTGGTGTGGGGAGGAAGATACGTTGTGATACCAGGCATGGTGGCTCACACCTGTGACCCCAGCTCTTAGTTGGCTAAGACAGGAGAATTGCCGTGGGTTTAAGGTCAGCCTGGCCTGCATAGCAAGACCCCATCCAAAACAAAACAAAACAAAGAAGCAAATCAAAACAGAGAGAGAGGGGTTAGCAGAAACAGGGGGGTGAATATGCATGGTCTACACTATGCACACGTAGTAAAATGTTATAATAAAGCCCATTCCTATGTATAACTGGTATGTGCTAATGAAAACACTTAAAAAGTTAAAAAATAAACTGAACCAGGGCTGGTGGGTTCCTATTAAGAGTCAGCCCTCTAGCCTCAATTTCCTTTTTTGGGCAGAACACAGGGACAAGGCCCCTTCCTGGGAGTGTACAGCTACTACAGATTCCATGGTCACAGGTCCTGGTGGTCCCACCCACCCCAGGCTTGAGATTGCACATTTATCATCTACACTAGTCAAGAGAAGAGTGTTCTAGTGATCTCAGTGGCCAGCACAGGTCTGAAGATAAGGACTGATGGTTAGGCTGGCTGATTAGGCATGGTGGGTCACCCTGGATGCTCACACACTGCGTGGGACTGCAAAGAGACAGAGTGAGTTTGGGCTACCTTGTGGACACTGCTCATTGCCTACAGGCACAACAACCTGTCTGTGACATCCGCACCCATCCACCATGACACCAAAACTGCATCGGTACCCTCGCTGCTGGGCTACACTACCGTGTCACAGATGAAAATCTGTGAGGCAGCCTGTCTCACAGGGAAAAGGACATGAGACTTGGAGCTTGTTTCTTAGGTGCCTGGTGCAGGCACATAAGGACCCCGTGACCTCCACAGTAACCAGGCAGTGAGGTCCCTAAGCCTCTGGAGTTCGACCTGCAGGAAGATACCAGATGCCCTCCCCAGCAGCCAGACATTGCAGACAAGCTCTGTGAGGCCATCATCACAAAGACTAGGGGACCACCACAAGCTACGCTGCCATCTGGGAGGGGCGGGCGGTGAGATGAATCCCAGAACAGCTGCTCTGTGGCACCAAAGGAAGGAAAGGAAAGGTTTACGTTGGTGTGAGACAGTGGGCGGCCCCTTCCAGAGGGAAAATTGTCCACGCGGATAGTGGTGCTGTGCCTGGATCTTGGGGGCCCCCTGCTGGAAGGTCATGTCTTGACAGGGTTTCTGAAGGTGCCTGGCCAAACCTCTGGGGGGGGAAAGTCTGCCTGTGTCCCAAGGAACAGGGTTAGAAAGCAGGCAGCCGGAGGAGGACTAAGGGACAGAGTCTCAGAAGGGTTGTAGGTGAGGGAATTGAGCTTTGGGGAGGCTGTGTGGGGAGCTGAAGTGACTGGTCAGCTTCCTATGTAACAGTGGCCCACATAGGTCCAGAAGACGCAGGAGCTTGATGCTACCTCTTGACCTTCTATAACCAAGCAGGGGTGTGAGAGGAGGAGCTGCCTCAAGTTCTGTGTAGAAGTATCCTCTTGTCATCAGTAATCATTAAGAAAACTGACCCTGAGAGGTCTAGAGAAAGTTCAGCACATCACCACCATCATGTTTATGGCATAGTTGATGCAAAAACACTAATGTACTGTGATGCAAACTGGAACGACCAGCTGGGAGGTTGACCAGTATTTTCACAGTTTTTTTTTTTTTTTTAAATGGGAAAACATCAACTTCCAGGTAGTTCAGTTACCATCAATTCATGCTGAATACAGCTCCTGTACCAAGAGGGAACAGACACACACAACAGGCACGTCACTGCCCACCTCCCCCATGGCCAACGGACTGGATTCAACTCTTAGATCTGAGGGCCAAGAGCTCAGGAGCCAGAATCTGGAAAACAGTGAAGCCCACAGTGGACAGCACACAGGGCACAGAGGGGAGAAACAAGCTGCTGCTATGCTGAGTCCTGCTTTGAGCGACTGTGGAGAACCATGGTGGGGAAACCACGTAGCTTCTACCGGTCTAACCCTCCAACCAAGGGTGAGTGGGGAAAGCTGGAAAACCAAAGCCACACTGGAGGAAAGGGGCCTTGGCAGGCATGCGGGCCCTTAAACAAAGGTTGCTTTCTGACTCTCTGGGGCGGACATAGAAAGCAATACGACATGGAAAGCATTGGCTGGGGCTCAGTTCTCAGACGTCTGACTGGAGACAAAAACTGGAGTTCGGCTACTGAGACAAGCAGGACAGACCTAGAGCCCTGCCTGTCTTAGCCCGGTGAGCGCCACAGCGAAGGCCATGGTCCGGCACTTCCTTCCACAGCAGACACTCCTCAGATAGTTCTAGAGGCTTAAGGCTGGACTGAGTTCAGGGGAGGCCTCTCACTGACCAGCAGACAACTGCCTTCTCATGTCCTTCCTGGTAGGGAGTGAGGTGAGAGCAAAGTCTCTCCAGGTCTCTTTTTGTAGGGACACCAACCTCCTCGCGGACCCACCAGCATGACCTGCATCGCCTTCAAAGGCCTCATCTCTAAGCACCACCACAAAGAAGCAGTTTCAAAATATGAATGAGGGAGTCCACACACCTTCAGTCCTTAACATTCCACCCCCAAGACTCCCAAAACTCACGTCTTCAAAGGCAAAACATGTTCATGCACCCTGCCAGCCCCCGTGTTAAGTCTGAGGTTGCTTTCCCCCACCTCTTCCCACCGCTGCTGAAATGGAAGGACACAGAAACCAGAGGAGAGGGGGGGGGGTACCCGCAAGGGAAGAGCAGTGCTGTTGCAGGGCCTTGCCATTCCCACGAGATGTCGCTCTTCAAGATGGAAAGCATGACATAGGTCCCTCCACTGTGACAGGGTCTTGTCCCAGGAAACCCACCAGAAATTGAAAATAATATGTTCAGCACGCCTGACCTAGTGAACTCAGGTAGAGATCTAAATCTGGGAGAGGGAAGTGCTACCTACTTGGAGCCCAAACTGAGCAGGAAACATGGTTCACTCCTAGAGGAAGGGAAATGCACGTCACACAAAGTTCAGAAAACTAGTTGTCAGCAAACTGGTGGCTTTAAAAAAATTACTAACAAGATGCCGGGTGGTGGTGGCGCAAGCCTTTAATCCCAGCACTCGGGAGGCAGAGCCAGGCGGATCTCTGTGAGTTTGAGGCCAGCCTGGTCTACAGAGAGAGTTCCAGGAAAGGTGCAAAGCTACACAGAGAAACCCTGTCTCGAAAAAAAAACAAAAAACAAAAAACAAAAAAACAAAAAAAAATTACTAATAAGATATTTCAGGCAGAAGGAAAATTTTCACAGGCAGACAGGATGAAAAACTGCATATTGGAAGGGCTATGGAGGCTTACAACTGAGGTGCATGGGAGGGTTCAGGTAGGCTAAGTGTAAATACTATGGTGTCTTACACATGGGACCTGAGCTCCTGCAGATCCAGATGGTGGGGAGCTAGAAAAAAATCCACAAAATAAGCCACATAGGCAGTAAGTTCCCTCTTCTTCACTACATACACACAGCAACCTGGATAGATATTCTTTTATGGGACAAGTGAGGCTTCAGGCAAGTGAGACTTTAAGGACAGGACATGTGACACCCTCTAGCTTACACTGAGCTCAGTTAAGAGTTTCTGACTTACAGTGGAGTGAGGTGGATACAGACTCAGCAGGAAACCCAGTGTGAGGGGGGCGTGTCCCCGCTGATGATGTACCAATCCTCTAGTAACACTCCACGTGGCAGCGAGCAACAGTTCCCAGTCGACCTGAGCTCATGAGGTGAACAACTGAAGCAACTGTGGGTCAGGTGTACCCACTGAATTTCAACTTACAGTAATTTCAATTCCTGGTGGGTTTACTGGGACAAATATATCATGCTGGAGGGACATATGTGACACTTCATGTGGATGAAAGTGTCCATCAAAAGGAGGACACAGAAGCCAAACGTGGCGGAGCATGAATGGAACCCCAGCTCTTAGGAGACTGAAGTAGGAGAATGAGAGCTCCATGCCAGCCTAAACTACAATTAAATGTTTCTCTTATATGTCGCCTCAGTCATGGTGTTTTGTCACAGCAATGAAAAGTAACTGAGACACAGAGCCTGTTGGATTATGCACTGGGAAGGCTGAGGCAGGAGGATCCCCCCAAGTTCCAGACCAGCTTGAGCCACACAGTGAGACCTCGTCTCAAAATGTCACAAAAGCACAAAACAAAACTAACAAAGCAAACTCCCTCAAATGAGGTCGAAGAAAGAGGGCAAAAGAAACTAAAATATTTCCTACAAAAATAATAGCTACACGATGACAGCTGTTCTAAACTTGGGGGCACAGATAAAGCGCACTTAGAGAAAAGAATTAACAGGGTAGAAAGGGGGGAAACTAAAACAGCGATTTATGCATCATCAATCTGTATAAGTAGAAAACAACAAACAGGCCGGGCATGGTGGTGCACACCTGTAACTCCAGAATGTGGGAGGCTGGGGCAAGAGGATTGTGAACTGGAGGCCAGTTTATTTAAGAGGGACAAAAAAACAAACAAAAAAACAATTTAAACCCAAAGAAGAAAATGATAAAGAGCAGAGTAGAAATAGAACACAAAGCTGGGTGGTGATGGTGCATGCCTTTAATCCCAGCTCTCGGGAGGCAGAAGCAGGTAGATCTCTGAGTTTGAGGCCAGCCTGGTCTACAGAGCGAGATCCAGGACAGCCAGGGCTACAAAGAGAAACCCTGTCTTGAATTCCCTATCCTCCCCAGAAAAAAAGAAATACATATCAAAAAATCAGAAAAGAAAAACAAAAACTGGCTGTTTGCAAAGAGCCAGATTTGATAAATATCTCACAAGAGTGATCAGGCGCAAGGCACTGAAAGCAGGAATTGGCCGCTGCCGCGGCTTCTACAGGCCTTGTGGCCTTTTAAAAGAAAAGAAGAAAATGTACTCTGTGCAAGGAAACATTCACCAGGCCCTGAGAACACATCTTACTAAATGTGACCAATGAAGTACAAAATCTGTATAGTTGACTTCCACTTGAAAAACCAAGCCTGTAATTTAAAGAAAACATACCCACAAAGTACACCAGGCTCATGTGACTTCATGGGTGAAACTTGCCCCCCCCCCAAAAAAAAAAGCAGAGTATTAATCTGTTATTAAAAAAAAAAAACCAACTTCCTGAATATAAAAAAAGAGTTCTTTTTTAATTTTGTAAGGCCAACAACCCCAACAGTTGACAACATTACAAAAAAGGAAAATTACAGCTCAACATTTTCATAAACATAATTATAAAAACTCCAAACACTGTATTAGCAAATTGAATCTACTGAAGTATGAGATGGATAATGTACGCTAAAGAAGCCAGTCAGACAGCATTAGAAACC